TCATATGGAAACACTCTCCAGCGATCCTGGCGATCCTAGCAACCTCAATCGCCGAGATAGAATCTGAGCGATTCCAGCGATCGAGATTGCTAGGATCGCCAGGATCGCTGGAGAGTGTTTCCATATGATCGCTACAATCGTTGAAATTTTTGGTGATCATGGCAATACTAGCGATTGTAATGATTATATGGAAACCAGGCATTAATGTCTGTGATATAGCAGTTGTGTCTTTTTTAATCTTTTACCACCCATGACACCTTTAATGGTCTTTTAAAAGATTTCCAAGAGTCCCTGTTGTAAATAATTGTACAATGTATATACAATTTTAATCTATCTTTAATATATTTATATGTATATTTTCCTTCTTTATTTGTAAATAATCTCTGAAAAACCTTTTTTAAGGATGTGATTAATAAAGTTTATTAATGGTAACTAATAAACAAAAAGAAAGGAAAGAAAAGAGAAAATGATTGTTRAGGTGAAAAAGTTAAACAGGGCTTTCATAATATTACTGTGGAAGAGGGATGATATCAAGTTATAGGGATAATATCAAATGACTGTAATAAGGGGATGTCTTTGATAATGAGGTATCTATAAGGTAAAGGTTTACTGTAATTATCATGGCATTTTTATATAATAATCATTTCACAGGTTAGACCCGAAATGATGGACACTCTATACAAGTATGCTAAATTCCAGTATGAGTGTGGCAACTATGCCGGTGCCGCTGAGTATTTATACTTTTTTAGAGTTTTGGTGAGTAMAATATTATGTACATACTTCCACATTTACTCAGTTTAATAAGTAGTGGTTAAAAAACGAGCAGGAGTGCTTTATCGGGAGATATAGACACGAGGCCAAAGGCCGAATGTCTATATCCCCGATAAAGCACGACTGCGAGTTTTTTATACTACTTCTAGAACTCCAACATCCAGAAATTGTTATCATTTTAGAAAAAAGCTAAAAAATGCGAAAACAGAGATTATGCATGTTAAACTTCTACTGAGCATGTGCATTTGTCACAAATGAAAGAATTTTGATCCCACACGTAAGAACGGCTAGTCTATGCTATACTGCATATCTGCACATTGATTCAAACTGATTTAAAACCTAGCAAAGGTCTATGATGCGACATTAAAACTGAGACCTTTGCTAGTGTTGGGTTGCGATAAAGCGCTGATGACCTTCAACATCAGTTCTTTATATCTGATATAGAACTGATTAATAAAACATCAGT